AAAAAAAAAAAAAAAGGAAAAAAGCTAAATTAAGTGCTGCAAAGCTCTGGGATGGGGCTCACCCATGTAACAACTATATAAGTCTTTTCCTGCTTTTAGGGCAACTACTCCACGAAAGTCCCCAGTGGACCCTTCCACCTCCTGCTTTGTCTCCCTTGTGCTCAGGACTTAGTTGACACGAACACTGTATGTATACTTGAAATAAATCAACATTTAATATTTTACAATTACCTTAAAAATTCTTGAAATACTATTATACAGATCAGCATAGACATTACAAAGATTTGGTGAGGCTTCACATATGTACAAGAATGGTTTGAAAAAACCTCCAACTTCCTTCCTTTTTCTTTTAAAAAAATGCATTAGAGGTCAAAAAATGGTGGGATTGTAGGTCCCTAGAGTTTGTGCTTGTTTTTCTCCATGACATGGAAATTTTCTTCTCCAGGATTGTCCGAGGGCCAGCTGAAACCAAAAAGTTTTATGTCATTCATAGAGGCAGGGAGATATTTAGCCATGGATATCAAGATCACAAATGGCAATGTTTTGACAGGATAAGGTGCTATTTTATAGTATGGAACAGCAACAAAAAACGCTGTCAAAATCTAGTTCCATTTAAAACAATGCACACAAACCTGTTGGAGAAATGAGAAGTCAGTGGGAAAACTTTTTCCATGTACATGAAAAGAGATACTGTCTGTTTCTGATGCCATGGGCCTGCCACAATATGTCACAAACTTACAGTATTGAACGTGCAGAAGAAAACATACAGTAGCGACCTCAGCTGGCTTTTCCACACCATCTTGCAGGCACCTAAACATCCCATCATGATCTGATCACAGCTTGATGTCCTTGATGAGTCCTTGCTGGGAGCAGAGGGAAGACACTGCCCTGCACAGTGTTGTAAAGCAGCTGCTCTGGATGTTGGGGTGTAGACATGGAACATGGGTCCTGCTCAAGAGTCTGAGCCAGCTTTACATCACAGTAGAGTCTGTGCATGTCTCAGTGATACTTTTCCCTCAACAGTCTTTTCTTAGAGTCCACAAGGCAACACCATCCTTGGGATGGTCTATTCAAGTAGAGGGATGAAAAGCACAGGCCTCAGAAGCATGTTCACATCTCATTGTTCCTGATCTCTGGCCATGGATGACAGTTGCGCCCAGAGCTGATAAGGACACCAAAGCACCAAAGGACGCCTTGTCAATCTCAGATGTTCACCAGGCAAGATCAGACCCACAGGTCTGGGTCAGGCTTTTCCAAAACAAAAACAAAGGTGGTGGGGAGAGAAAACAGGTCCACCAGTTGACAGGCCACAACTGCCCAGAGCAGAAGGGATTCCCAATACCCTTTCAGGAAATAGAGGAATCCCACAGACAAGCTGGTCTGTGTTCCACTGAGACAACTGAAGCCCCACAGGCCCTGATCCTTTTCCTGGCAAACTTAACCTTCAAAGTGTTGAGTCTCCTCCAATACCTAGGATAGTGGGGATGGCTACTCTGCCACCAGCCTTGCAGGACAGAGACCAGAATGTTCTAACAAGTGCTAAAAGCTGATCAAGTTCCATTTTCTGAAGGACAGGGGGACCCATGCTTATCTGAGTCTCCATGGCTGCCAGCTGCCTCCCAGCATCCTGGCAGTCCAGAGGACATTTCCAGCCACTTCCCAGGACGAATGTGTCCTCAGCATTGGGATCTTTTTTGCCTGTATCAGACTGTACAGACATGCTCCTCTGCCAGTCATCATTAGTGCAACTATTGAGAAACAGCTTTTGAACTAAGAAACTAGGCAAGACTCTTCCTACTTCTTTTATTGCTCCTGGAGTCAGAATACCTCTAAACACCCCCAACTATTGCACCTTTCTGTACCTACAGCCTTGTAGATAGGATGGGGGAAGGGGCAGGAGGGGGAATGCCTCTCTTTGCAGGGGAGAGGGGAGCTCAAATGGTATTGCTGCTTCAAGTGTCACTAGTGTTTTTGTGGCTAGGTCCTTCTCAACCAAAGTTGCCTACCCAGGTGAATTCAAGGCAATCTGAGTGGTTTCCTCTGCACTTCCTTCCCTCCTCTGAGTTTAAGCACAGCTCCTTCCACATTTCAAGCAACTATTGAGGATCCTACACTTGCTATGTCTCTATCTTTCAGTGCTGGGGAGCAGACCACAAGAGCATGGGCCAAAAAGGGATTTCATCCCCTTCTGGATAAGCTCTCAAAGTCTGCAAAAATTGGAAGTCCATCTCCTGCAGGTCTTGGACTTACAGTAAACACATGTGTGCATGACAAGTCATCATTGCACTAGTATAGCCTATTGCACTGGATTCATCAAAACACAAACAGCAGCACTTCCTGGGCCTCAGCTAGGTCCATCTATACCCAATACCTGAGTTTTGCAATTTAAAACAATTTAAACCTTTGAGAAAGGTTCTCAACCTATTCCCATCCTAAGAACTGTTCTGAGAGTCTCAAGACTTCTTAGAAGTGGAATGTCAGCAGGACATTCATAACCACTAGAACCATTCAGCCAAGGCTGAATTTCCATTTCCCACAGTGCCTGATGAAGAACTCCATTCAGATGATGCTGGCTTTGCAATCACTTGAGTACAGCCACAGCACCATTCGCTGGCAGGGAAATAGCATTGCCCTTGTCTTGTCATCTCTAACCAGATGTTGGCAGTCTGCTGAAGTATGTGCACATCTCAAGGAAACTGCTTCCCTTGCATTGCCAAGGAACCCTTACAGGTATGAGAGCATGACACTAAAGTACCCATTTGCTAAGGGCAATGTAAGCACAGACCAGGAGCAACTCACACTAATGCTTTGAGCTTTAGGATATCTTAAACGAGAATGTTAGGTCTCCAACCCAAACTAGTACAGCCAGATTCCTCTTCCTGTGGCTATTTTGGTGTGTTGCAAGTGAGCGTGAGAAGGAACAGGGTCTCTGGTCCCTCTATGGCAGTGCTCCACTGAAGGTGGCAATGGGTAAGCACAGAAGAGAAGGAAACTCAGAGGGATCCTGGGGAGGCAAAGAGGATGTTCTCAGTGCAAGGGAATCACTGTCTCTCGGTCTGTAGCACACAGAGATCTCACACCTGCAGGGAGAAGAAAAAAAAAAAAAAAAAAAAAAAAAAGATATTGCTAGGATATGTGAGAACCACAGGCCTTGTATGCACCAGCAACATCATCAAGCAAAGAGGAATCAGTTCACTGTAACAGGACTGGTATTTGCATACTGAGAGTTCAGGTTTCTTTAAGTTGGCTTAGACTGAGACCTTCCATACAAAAAGAAAAAACATCCATACAGAGTAATCTCTGAAATCCATTGGGAAAAATTGGAACTTTTGCATCCTCAAGATTTAGGGAAGACAGAATAACTGTTTTTTCTTTTTTTTTTTTTTTATTCAACTCTCACATTTGCCTCATAGGTTGGGCAAAAAAAAATTAAAAAAAAATCTTCAGATGTAAGAATTTAAGAACAAAAACTTATTTAATAAATAATCTCTTCTACATTGTATAGCCAGTGTAACCTTGTAGGGCTCTGCTGTCCCCAAGGAGTGCATTAAAAAGTTTAGAGACTGTAAAGGCTAATGGATTAACTGGTTTGACCCTTTTCTGCCCATGGACGTATGTTGCCTCTGATGATTTTCCAAACCCTATTCCTAGTCAGATACCTTCATGCTTTGGGGATACCACTAAAAGATGGAGAGGCAAATGAACAGTTCTTGCCCCCCTCTACCCCAATCTGTGAATATCACAATTCTTTCTAAAAGGTATGCTAAAGGTGATGGAGCACCCCAATGAAGTTTGGAAGTTGACAGTTCTGTTTATGTTTCCAGATATCTCTGAAATGGAATCCATATCTCACTAATACTGCATGGGTTTCCTCTGATTTTCAGTTGGTCTTGCTGGAAGAGCTGTCTTCACTAAACTGATCAGTGGACCACCCTTTAGACCGCCCCAGCTGGTCATAAAGGTAAACTATTGCCAGGATCCGAACAGGACCATCCAACCACTCTGAGTTCAGTTTTACTACGCAGCTTGAAATTGCATGACCCAGCTCAGCCACCCCAGTGCTCACCACGGTGCTCAGGACCATGCAGCCAGCCAAACTGGAGGTCCTACCTGGTTACACTCTGCAGAATCTTCTGCTCATCCTGGTCCAAACACACGGCAAAGGAGGACTGGATACCGATAATCTGCACCTTGTCTACTTTTATCTGGGACACACTGATCTGAAGAGAGAAAAAGTACCCAAGTGAGGGAACTCACAAGGCTCTGCAGGTAAGGAGAGCAGGGGAAATTGTTATGCAGAAAGTGCTAGATGTTTGCAAGACAAGATTTGGCTGAGGAAAGGCAATGGCATAGGCTTAGAAAGGTGAGAATCCCTGGCTGAGGCAGAAATGATCCTTTTTATCTCTAAGGTCAGAAGAGTCCTTTCTTGCTGCTCTGACAGCAGCACTGGCATAACCCCTTTACTTCTTGTAACTATGTTACATGATGGCCTTTTTGGTGATCCAGTTTCCAAATTCTGGGACTGACGTTGCTTCTACAAGGGAACAAGCCTGTTCCAACCTCCAGAGACTGGGCAGCTGAGATGCTCCCGCTGCAAGCCCTGCAGGAGAAGTAACCTGCTTTCACACATTGCTAGCCCTGTAAGTTAAGACTGAAGTCCAGTGGCACCTGGTCCACCAAGGAGTTACTGACCACTTCCAGGGTCTCCAAACACCATCTCCCGCCATACCTCCCTCATGTAACCTCTAATTACCAAATGTAAAAACTTCATAATTTGAGTTACCTGATTGAAACATTTCTTGGATTTAGAGTTTTGCCTTTTGACCACCTCAGTCATGGTTAAATTGAGACACTCTGTTTTTGAGGCTGTAACAAAAGGAAACTGTTAGTATTGAGGCTTCACTGGTGGGATACAGAGAGTTTCTTCCACCCCTTAAAGCATCCCAGAATGGGCCTGTCTCAGCCAGACCTCTCCACTATCAGGTAAAAGCACTTGGATAGAGTGAGAATAGTCAACATGTTGAATTCAGCAGCTCCCAGTGCTGAGCTTGGAGGCATTAACTGTCTTGGGTCAGTGACAGCCTTCATGTACGCCCCAATCTAACAAATATACTTTCCAGTCTTCCTTTCCCCGGGCCAGCTCACATAGGGGAAAGTCAACTCAGAGACAGGGGTAAACTGGGGCTTATGAAATAATCTCAGACAGCTTTCTAAACATAGCAGCACAGGACCTTTAACTATACAAGGACCTAAAGAGGAGAAGAATCATTTCCCCTTTGCCAGGAGGAAATTCTAGCGGCTATCATGGTACCATGGCCATTGCTGCAGCCCACCTAGAGATCCTTTTTCATGTCTGGAATTACAGTGACATTCTGTGGTCAAACTAGTGAGGATGGAAATGCTCATTCAAAAAAAAAAAAAAAAAAAAAAAAAAAAAACCCATACCACCAGGTTTCTCTTCAAATGAAAATTAATAAAGGAGAAGCTTCTCTCTGGTGTGAGCTGTCTTTTACTATATAGGTGTTGTTCTGGAAAGCACCACTCTCCAGTGACTACCCCTCTGCTTGCACAGCCCCAGTCCCTTTCCTGCTAGACATCCGACACAGTTAAACAATTCCCTGACTGGAAGCTTCAGGATAAGGGGAAATCAAATTCTCTTCTTCTGTGAAGTGCTGCTAAGAAAGAGTTAGGGAATACAATATCCATTGCCACAGGGAACCCTAAGCAGCTACCACGTCTTCTGCACACCGCACATTCCTGCTTTGCTCCAGTGAGTAGGTCCTTGCTCTCCTCTCACTCTGCCAACCCCTCCCATTGCTCCCTATGCAAAGCCACAAAGGACATCTGGACCCACCTAGTTCTTCATACTTCTTGCAGGCTTTGCTGAGGTTCACAGATGTGCAGACCTTCTCAACATCATTCCAATGACTTCTTCCACTGACAGCTGTCTGCAGGGACCAAACAAGGCCTGTGAGATGCCACCTTCCTCTATATTACCCTACCTCCCCATCCCTCACCCTTTGGCTGGACTAGCTCAGATCTGGATCTGAGACAAAGTTTGGTTCATGTGGCCCCAATTCAGATTCTCCCAGCACACTCTCAGCATCTGCACGCCACAGCCTCAGCTAAGATCCTAGCTGAGGGGCATGTTTGCACAGCCTTGAAATGGTGTCCTGCCACGTTTGTCTTTGCACAGGTCCTGTGGACTCACCTTGCTGTAGGCAATTTGTAGTGTTAATGGGATTGCTTCTCTGTCTCCATCTATACCCAGCCTTTTGCTGCCGGGACCTGCACAAAACAAGGAGCAAATGTCACTTAGTGGCCTTTTATCCCCATTCTTCCGTGGGCTACTGCTACAACAGGGCACTTGGTAGCTACAGAAAGGGAAAAATTCCCAGTTTGCTGAATACAGCTAAAGAATGAAAAGGCAAAAAGAAAAGGTGGCTTGAAAGCTGCCACAAAACAATTAATCCAGCACAGCACAACAAGCAGCTTTGCAAAACTGACAGCAGTGCCGGCCAAGCTGCTGCCGTGGGGTTAGTACTCCAAGGAATACACAAAGCAATAAAAGGCTGCATTTCTAAACAAGTTCCCTTTTATCCGGGGCATATTTGTGCCCACAATAGATTAGCCTTGAAATTCTGTGGCCAACACTTAATAATGCTTTTTCCTGGATATTTTTTTTTTTCAGATGCAAAATGGTGTTTTTCAGACAAGCCAAAGGAAGAAGCAGACAGAAAAGATTGGTAGGTTCATGACCTATTTCAAAGAAATCTTGGACAAGTCTACATTTTGAAGGTGTAGAGTGGTAACACTTTATATGCAGGATATTTTACAATCTCTGTTTAGAATGACAAGGAGATATTTCAGAAAAGCAATCGGTTAAAAAAATAAATGACATATTTAAATGCAGGATGTTAGATGACCACAAGATGTCTCTGCAAGCTGTACTACACCAGAAGGCATGTGGTCTTTACTAAGCTAGAAGAGATCTGGAAACCAGGCTGCAGGCTAATACTTCGGTAATTACTTCTCCTGTCTCTAATAATTTCGTGGATTTTTACTTTAAGGATGGCACTGGACTGAAGACTCCAGGTGTGTGCAAAAAAGCATTGAAGCTCACCAAAGGTGCTGGACAAGCTCCCTGCAGCCTCTCCAAGGAGTTGCTCCCTTCACCTCCCAGCCTGGCTGAATCACCCACCTCTGTTTCAGATCTGTTGTTGCAGAAGCACAATGGGAGTTAGCCACAAACCTGATGCCTTGATGGCCCGTGTTGCAGCTGAGTGGCCCAGCTCGAGGGAGTGGATGAAGACTTCAGTCATCTTCTCCCCGCCCATGAAAGTGAGCTGCCAGTGGAAGAAGATAGGAGATGTGACAGTGAGAGACACGCCTCCCGTTTCCCCTCCACCCCTCAAAGAGACAAACATGGGGGTCTGACCCACATTGGGTGATGTTCATCCCTCAAACTCCTCACAGCAAGAAAGAGGTTGCTTTGGGCAAAAACATTTGTGTTTTCTTCAGCCAAGTGAAAATAGACAATTTACAAAAAACTCCTCAATACTCTGAAGGGGGAAAATATGATAAGTCTAGCAGTAGAGTCCAGGCATCACTCTGGGTAACACAAATCCCAGCCTCAGAACTTACACTGTATAGGTAGCAATTCTGCTGCCAACACTACTGCAACACGTCTAGCACTGCAGCATCAATGTGATCATTATGGCTTTGAAGTCACATTGCAGTTAAACCTTCCCCACCGTGCCTGTGAACACTACAAGGGCTCAAAAATGGGCTGCACAAAAACTGTTTGTTTGTTTTGCCCCAGAAGGGAGAGCACAGGAGGACGGTGCCTGACCTGTTGGCACTGATAAGAGTCACTTGTGTGATGGGGAAATATGTTTGGATGGAAAACTGTGTGCCATGAATTGACTGAACAGGAGTAAGCCAGAGGCCTGGGTGCCATGTCAGCCATTATGTTGGAGAATGACCAGGCAGTCCTGGCAGATGCTGCTGGCTCAGAGAGTTTAGCCAGGGCTTTTCAGGCTAATCCAGAGCCACCCATAACACTTAATCACTGAGACAGAAGCACCAACCAAAAAGCCCGAACTCCTTTACAGGTGGTGCTGAGTTGGTCATAGAACAGAAGATTCTTCTTTCCCCTTATCTGAGACAGGGCTGAGCAACTTCCCCTACCTCCGTCTGGTAGAGCTGCAGCATCACAGGGCGCATGGCAAAGCGGCAGTAGTAGAGAATCATATCAGCCAGGATGGGCAGCTGCTCCCTGGAGTCCTCCTGAGGATCAGGCTCTGGCTTGGCAGACTGCAATGGCAGGGGCAAGTGCATGAGCTGCCATCATGCTGGTCACATCTAACCATAACCCAGCACCACAAACAGCCCACTCCATCATGCTGGGAACAGAAACCTTTCTCGTGACTCCAAATGACCAGGGACCACCCCATATCCATCCCATATCCCACTGTACAGGATATGGTCAGTGGTTTGGTGGCCTAGTGCTCACCTAGGATGCTTCCTGCTCAGCTCCACCATACAACAGGGAAGAAGGAAGCCAAGAAGGACAGACACTAGACCGTACTATGTGGCCAGGCACATACCTGACAGAGAACATCCATGGGCAAGCTCATCAGACCAAGGATGTTACGCTCATACCACGGGTCCAACATCCCAATGTAGTGAGAGATGTCATTGGTGCTAGTCTCCGCCTTGTCCAATGCAGGCTCCTGAAATAAGGCAAACCAGGGTCATTCTGGAGTTCTCCCACGAACAGAGCAGTAAGTGCTGCTCTTCTCCCCTCACTCAAGAAGACACACCAGCGTTCTCCTGAAGCTGCCCCATTGGTCTTTGAGCTCCACACAGCCACTCTAGGGCTGCAGCAAGCCGAGCATGAGCCTGCAGCAGGCAGGACACCTACCACCTGTGCTGAGCTTCGGAAATGCAGGTCCCCTGGGGAGGTGGGAGGATGCATCAGTGGGGCCAATGGGAAAAGGCAGTTCCTCTTCACAGGGACGTAGTAAAACTGCAGCTTGAAGTATCTTGTCAGCAAGGGGCAGGTGCTTTCTTTTAGCCTAGATCAAGGTAGGAGAGGACTGGATGAGCAAACACTCCAACATATCCAGGGAAAGCAGGGTATGATGTGTAGAATTAGATCCCACTGATAGCCTGAGGATCCTTCCCCACTCCCAGAGCAATATAGTGAGGGAATGAAAAGAGAATACAAGATCTACAGATAGGAACTCTATTTTTGCCACACTTTTGCATGGCATTTCCACAACTGCATCATGGAGATTCAGTGCCAGTGCCATGTGGTGGCAAATGCCCCTGATGCCTCCACTCCTGGACAACAGCAGCCAGATGTCCCTCTGCCGTGCCACACTGCACTGGGGAACTCTAGCTAACTATGGCAGATGCAGGGGCCACAGCAAAAAGCCCCATGTGATGGCACCTCAGCACCACACATCCATTAGCCAAGGCATGCTGGCATCCACAGCCAGGTCCCAACTCACCTGAGGTTGCTGTAGGCCCGGGCCACTTTCCCTGAGATGCGGTCAGAGCCAAAGACCACGACGCGCAGTGTAGATATCTTTGTGTCCTCATCATAGCTGAGGAAAGGCCGGCGGTGGAGGCTCAAATGTTGTGGCACATAGTGCGCTGGGAGCCGCTGGCTTAGGATGTGCTGGGGCAGCGAATGAGCTCGCCGTGAACGGGTCAGGATATGGTGCTTGGCTTCAGGGTTACACAGGCTCTCGGCCCGGCGCAGGGGCAGCGAGAGTGAGCCCGTGTCTGAGCAGTCCTTCAGCTCTCTCCTCAAGACCAGTTGACTTTTGCTCTTGAAGAGTTTGTAGATCTTGTTGGTCAGTGTGTGCCTGTGTTTGTTGCGGGTCTTCTCCATCTTGAGCTCTGGTCTTCCCATCATGTCCAGAGAGCTCTCATCACTGTCTTCTGCATAGCCGCTGTCCATGCAGTCCTTGAGGCTGGAGACAAAAGACCTCAAGGACTTCTTGGAGACGACTGTCAGCTCTGAGATGGAGTCCTTGGAAGTAGTGAAAAGGGGCACTGGTGAGTGCTTCGATTCTTCCTCCGATAGCGCTGAGTATACAGAGTCTTTAGAAATGGCAGAGATGGGGGAAAGCAGTGAGTCTCTTTCTGGAGAACAGCCATCAATTTCCACCTCCTCCTCTTCCTCCTCCTCATTCTCTGAGACCAGGGGCTCAACAATGTGGCACTCTTTGCTGAGGATGTCATTGAGGATATCTGAAAGGCAACAGAGAGATGAGGTCTAATGTGGACTCCAGTACCACCAAGAGACTCCATTGTAGCTATTAAAGATGTAAATAGTGCATTGACATCCCTGACATTTACCTGGAGATGTCTACCCTAGTGCAGGCTGGCCAGTGCTGTCTCTAATGCTAAGCATTTTTTAAACAAAGAACTAAATCTCTATGCTTTGACAACACTTTTAGATTCCCACAAGGTGCTCAAACTTGATGACAAAACAAAATGCATTTCTTCCTTTGAAATCACATTCTGTTTGTGTTCTCAAAAACCCGAGTGCAAACAACAGTTTGGGCTTTGCTTCCTTCTTACTCAGATTTCACAATGCTCCATATGTCCGATACATGTTTACCCAGGGAGCAGGGGGGAAGCAAGGTATTTCAATAAACAAGCCAAAACTCAATGGTCAGACACAGAGAACAAGATATTGCCCCACTGTGGACCACTTCACATCAAGGCCATCCTACCAGCAAAGTGCAAACCAGAGCTCCATTTTAGCTTGTTGGGGCCAGCAGGCAACAAACCTTCACAGGAAAAGAAAAGATCTTCCAGGAATAAGGAACTTAAACCAAACAGCATGGCAAAAAGGGAAGTCATCACTTCCCCTGCAAAACTGCTGTGGCAGGTCCAAGAGCATGAAGAATCACCAACTTGGACATTAAAAAAAGCCTCCTCAGTTATCCTTGTTGTAGGAATGGTGGAAGGACTGTAATGTTTTACAGGTCTTAAGAGCACGAAATCCTCCCTCATCAACGCGAATGGGTTTCTCTCAGGACTTGGCTGGGAGGTACAGTGCTGCCCACCCATGCTGACCCACTGTCACCCCTGGGGTTCCCAGGACAGCCTGCTCACTTCTCAGCTTACCGAAGTTATCCTGATCCCAGCTGTAAGTGTAACAGCGAGCTGGAGGGATGGGGATGGTGTGGAGTTTGCAGGGCTGGGCCTCACCTGGGAAGGCAGAGGAGGAAAAGAGAGGTTAGTTTGCAGGGACCCTCCTTGTCATGGAGACCTTGTGCCAGACCACAAATCCCTCCACTGCTCTGCCTTCTTCCTCCACATCCCTGGGTCTGCCTGTTGGGGATGACGGGAGATGTTTCTCCTCCCAAAGCAAATCTAATGCCCTTGTATGGGCCTAAGCTAGACCCTTCCTGCCCCCAAGCAGAGGGCATGAGGCGCCGAAACTGGTCTCAAGCTTGACCCCTCCAAACAACCTTCCTACCAGGAGCAATCAACCCCAGGGCCAACAGTGGCCCGAGGCAGATGTTGTTCACCCTAAATATGTCAAATATCTGGCAATCTGGGCCACATTGCTGCCGTTACTCAGGAGCACCAAGATGAGATGAGCTTGAGGACAGAGGCACATCTGGCAACTTTAAGAGCCTCAGTCCAGGCTGCCTGCAGACCCAGGAGGATATCACTGCTACAACCAATTTCTGATTGAGCGTTTTTATCTCACCCACAAAGGTGGGAGATTTTTTTTGTGTTTGTTTTACTGAAAGATGAGAAATGATTTCTGGCTTATTGTGTGGGCAGAAAATAGGACCTGGGTTCTTCTGTTGTGCAAGATTGAAACTCTGTACAAAACAGGATTTCACACTTCAAAGGGCTAGCTCCTTACACCCGCAAAACAGAGCTGCTCAGCATCTGTGTGCAGGCTGGTAGCTGGGAAGAGGTGACGTGCTTACCCGCGATGGCAGGGAAGACTGCGGCTCCAGTGAGCTCTCGCAGAGCAGACTGCAGCTGCTCCCGTGCCCGGGTGGGCTCACTGCTTGCAGCTGCAGCCTCCTGGGCCTCTGCAGCACTGGCGTAGATCTCAGAGAGCTCTTCCAGTGACTTGGACTGAAGAGGGGAGAGAGACAAGAAGAGAGATCACATGGGTCCCTCTGCAAAGCTAAACACAGCTCTCTGGGGCCATCACTAGGTCCTGCTAGGTAGATCTGGCCTCCCTCTACTACCTCCTGCCCTCTCTTGGATAGCTCCCCCAAAACTTCTGCAAAGAAAGAGCTTTTAGATATACCTAGGAGGTAAGTTTTCACCCTCCACAAACATCGAAGTGACCGAATGAAAACTTAGGCTCTATTTCAAATCTCTACATAGAGACAGAGAAGGGAATAAAGCAGTACCAGGGCAGGATACCCCCTCTCCACACAGAAGCATAGAGCTCAGGTTTTGATGTATGTTTTTTTTCACAATGAGAGCTATTAAAGCACACTTGTTTGGTGATTGAATACTATTTTGGTCCGATATATGCCAGCACACAAGCACTTCCTGATCCCTTGCAAGGTCCCACAGCCCACAAGGCTCATCTTTGCAAAGTGCACCGAGTCCGTCCCAACAAGCATCAGGTATGGGTCGCACCATCCACTGGCCCATAGGCATGGGGCAGGGCCTACCTTCAGGAGGTGCCGCAGGCTGCCCAGGTCACAATGGGTGCCGAAGTTGGCTTGGTAGAGGTGCTCCAGCAATACAAGGAGTGTGGCGTGCCGCGATGGCTCAGGGCAGCTCAGCCTCTCGGCAATGGAGAGGAACTCACTCTGCACCTCTGAGCGGTTGAGCAGCAGCACAGTGCTAGGGATGGAGAAGATAGTGGTTATCTGGGCAGGGGCTGGCATGACACTTGGGGGCACGAGAAGACACTAGATGGCAGTGTCCTCTTACGGTGGTGGCAGATGGACTCCAGCTCTCTGCAGGGGTGCCAATGTGCCACAAAGGCCTCATCCTCTGCGTAGGGACAGCCCGTGTCATTTGCTGCGCTGGTGATACCTCCACTCTTGCAGCTGTTCAAGCTGTCCCGAACAGCACAAGCTCCAGGCAGCTCTCCAAGCATGATAGACCACAAAAGTGTCCACCCAAGACAGCACTGCTTCTGAGCTTTAAGGTGCTGTGAAGATTTACGCTAGTTGAAGGACTGTGCTCGCAGCAGTGAGATCGTGAAGATGTCATTCACAGGATGTTGACAGCAGCTTGGTTATCATGCCCAAGACAGGGAGGCTTTAGAGGAAGCTGATGTGTGTTTGCTTCTAGCTCATGGAATGGGCACAAGCTCTCCAAGGTTCAACATTGCGTATAGCTATATCCTGGTTTTCCAGATTTTCACACTGATACAGCCACTAAGGTTGCACTTGCATCAGCACAACTGTGTGGAATGGCTCGGCTCTATCAGGAAAGCACCGTGCCTGTATGAACGAGCAAAACTGCCTTCTTGCCCAGAGCAGAGGGGTTGCATGAAAAGTACCCTACCCCAGGCAGGGCACCCACAGCCTGGCCTCATTTCCCTATTTGCAAATGAGGAATGCTGGCAGGAAGAAAGGTTCAGCCTTTAAACAGGGTACAAAGTTTGGTCGCGTGCAGAACTGCAAGGCTTTAGTGAACCAAATATTAAGCCCTGGCACTGCCACAGCTGGAGGAAGGTTGTATTTCACCCCTTCAAACTTGTTGGCATCTACCACTACCTTTGAGAAGCTGCTGGCTGCAGCTCACTCCTGCTTTTTGATTAAGGTTAGCTGGGGAAAAGCAGCCCACACCAGCAGAGAGACTGCAGGGAGCAATTCAAGCAGTGGCCAGAGAGCTCAGCCCAGCTCTGACCATACTTACATGGTGGAGCTCTGGTAGCTCTTCATGGGCAGCCCCTGCTCTGTCCTCACTAGCCTCTGGAATGATATCCCTGTGGGAGAGAAAAGAGGACATGAGAGATGGCAACCAGAGGAGGACTTACTGTCCCCAAACTCTGCCTGAGGTTGGCAATCACTCTCCTCCAGCTGGCGCAAATCCTGCTGGTGAAGCTAGAGAAGGTGCTGGAGCAGGAACAGATTGAGCCATGAGTGAGGGAGTGTTAGAGGAAAGGCTGGAAACACAAGAGACAGATGGAGGTGATGGGAGAGTAAGCAGAGGGCAAGAAGGGAGAGCTGCCCAAACCTCTGTGGCTGGGCAATAACAACGAAGTCTCTTTCAACCCAAAAAGACAGAGAGACCAGGTGCATCTTTGAAACACAGATCTCCAAAAGATCCTATGATATCATCATGGTCCAGCACCCCTTATTGCCAGAGTCCAGACTGTGCAGCTGCTTACAGCCCCAGGAAGAGAGTCCACAGACACTCAGGACCCCAGTGTGCCCAGCTTCAGCTCCCCTGATGGGGACTTCCTTGGGTTGCAGTTGCCTTTAGCACTCTTTTCTCGGCAGAAAGCTCAGGCCTACCATGCAGATAATACCTATAGCATCCCTGACCAAGACCAATAGCTGCTTGTTCTTAGTTAATATTTACTCATATCTCAATAAAAAGCTTTGGCTTTAGTTTTGTGGCAGATCACAGATCCTATGGAAGAAGGATAGGAGATGCCAGGCTGACTTTCAGCAAAGGCTGAGCTCAGCTGGTAGGGAAAAGCAGTGGCCAGTGAGTAGCACTGCTCTTCCCTGGCACTATAACACCTCCCACACCATGATTTTTGGCAGGGCAGGGAAACCTCCCATGTTTGTAGGAAAGGAAAAGGTAGTGGATCAAAATCCCTAGTGTAAGCTGCCCTGCACATCAGCAACAGCATGACAAGAGCTGCATATAGCAAAACCCTCATAGCACTGATGTTTTCCCAGCAGTGCTTGAACAGCCACAGCGGCTCTCACAGCAATAAGTGATGAGGAAGAAGTGGTGATGCTTGCACATCACCAGCTTGGCAATAGTTGGGCATGTCCCCACCTTCGAAGCAGACACAGCACGGACCCCGGTCATATTCAGGCCATGCCCTCATCTCCATGGGACATTGCTGCAGGACTAGGGTGGTGTCCCCATGTTGCATGCCCTGCCAGCAGCATGGCACAGTATTGCTGCCAGCCGGTGCATCCGTGTGTGCTCTCTTAAGTCCTACTCAGAGCAAGTCACGGTGTCACAGCCCCATGTATGGATTAAACAAGGGTTGAAATCTGCTCTATTTGTGTAATGACTCTGCACGAGCCATCAAAAGATGGGAAGATTAGGAGGAAGGGCTTTTTGGAAATAATTGGAATTGCTGCTCCACTGAGAACAACAGGACACATCCACAAGGAATCCTTAATTAGGAGCAGTACAGCTGCTGGCGATAGATGTGCCCAAAGCCATTTCACAAGGTAGCGTCTCTGCTATAAAGAAACAGCTGGGGAGTTCCTCAGACTCTATGAAAATTTCCATGCAACAGTAGGCACAAAGGCTAAAGCCACCTTGATGCGTGTGAATGGAGCCACTGTTATTACCCCAATTACACACTAAGTCACTGAGCATTTTCAACAAAACCCAGGGCAGGCGGAAGGAGCCAGCACATGCTTTGCCATGAAAAAGACCCACCAGACCGAAAGGGAGCTAGAAGGCAATAACTCTCTTTGCTAATCCATACAGGTCCGACAGTTCTAGGATGCTCCCACTACCTTGCAAGCAAGATAACCCCTGAAAAGACACCCCAGCAGTCCAGCTCTGCTCCTCCAGAGAAGTCCTCAGCTCCTCACTATAGTATCCCAAGGGAAAAGTCATGTCAGCAACACAGTTGCTGCGGGGTGGGAGCATGTGGACAGGTTGCTTCTTACCCGGGGCCTTGAGCTCATCGCTGATGAAGGTGAGCAGCTCACGGAAGATATCACAGTAGGGCACAGGCCAGGTGAGGAAGTTGTGGTAGATGCTGACAGCCTTCAGGAGCAGGTCAGAGCTTGGAGGGAAGTGAGGAGCCTGTCGAGAATAGGGTGGGGGAACACAGATAGGAACAGAGCAAGGACCCGGGCATTGATGTCTGAGCCTCCACCACCCTCAACCTCTCTTCCCAGAGATGACCAGGCAGTCACCACACAAGAAAGTGAGAGACTGGAAGTAAGACAAGAAGGACTAGATCATAAGTTTGCCATGGAACAGCCTGTCCTATTCCAAGGAAGGGTCAAAGAAACCTCATTTGGCAAAGCTACAAAAAGGCTTCATCCTTTCTGTACCTCTCAACCTCTGTGCTTGGCTCATGTGCCAAAGTCAGGGAGTTTTTCCTGATTAAATATATCTTTTTTTGTTTGTTTGATTTTGGACAATCAAAGATGAATCTCATTAAAGCTTGTGCTTTTGCAAGATCTGGCAGCAATGATTTCCTTGGAATAATGAGGCATTGTGCTAATAATAATAGTAAAAAAAAAAAGCTTCCTGTGAAAGCTTGGCTCCCTCTTTTCATTAGAATTGCATGTGTATTTTGCACAATTGTAAGGGGCAATGAAAAATTTGCCTTCTCCAGAGAGAAGTATTGTCCAAGTCTTTCAGAAAGATCCATCTTTAAATACAAAGATTAAAAAAAAAGGGAGCTCGCTTTCTTTCACCTCTCACAGCTTGCACATCAGTTGCCTAGTTTTAATCCCTGTAGATTTGCACAAAATCTTTTTTAGCGATGACTTGATCAAAGCAGACTTGGATCTTTCAGATGAAAACCATTCTAATTTACATAATAGCACTACTCAAGTCCTCCAGGGCCCCAGCACCAGTGTCCTCTGGGCACCAGGGGCTAAGCCACCTTCAGCAGCATCAATACTTACATATAAGACTGCATAGTAGAAAAGCAGAGCCAGAGGGGTTACAAGATCATAGTTGCACTTCTCCTGGACCTGTAGGAAAGAGTCAAGGGGAGAAAGATGAGTGTCACTCCAATGCTTGCTCCAAGATGCTGGGCTGTAGCCAATACCATCACCAAGTACCCAACCCTGGAGCACCACATCCCCATTGACCTTTGCTCAGTTGTATGTTTGACCCTCAGGCACTTTCAGTCTTTGCAGAGCTGTATGAGGTTTTAGGAAAGTAATTCAAAGTGGGCAGGCTGGGGAGGCAAAGTCAGTAGCACACTGCAAATTGCAGCTTTTTGCCACAGTCTTCACAATATAAAAGTTATTTGAGAGGGATATGGTGAAGAAAATGCTTGCAAACACCATCTCCCCAGCACCAAACACCAGCTCAATTACAGCTGCTAAAAAAAAAGAAAAATCATGTTTGTGAAGGGAGAAAAATAAAGTCATAGTCTTATAAGCTTGCTTGGTTCTTTCTCCCAAATTGCCTTTTGTCCAGACTTCTTTTGAAGTCAGGCAGCTAGACCACCTTCCTTCCACGAGGAATGAAAGGCAATGTTTCCCCCATCACATTAACAGTACCGCAGCATTGGGAGAGCTGCCCACCTTTTCCACATCAAGGGATTCCTCAGAGGTCTTCCCAGGCATGCTGGGATGTGACCCAGACAGGCTCTCCCATCACGTGCCAGGCTCAGGGTGGCTGATCCCAACAATGTTGTGCCTTGCCGCTCCACTCAACCTGCTTTCACTTCCTGGTCGAGCAGAGCTATGCTAGTGTTTCCATGAAAACAACAGGAAACCCTCAGTTTGCTCTGATCTGCACTAGTATCTGATCTGCCGGCTCCATTCATGCAGCTGGGAGGGCCCTGCACAGGTGTCATGAGGACCAGTGTCCCAGCAGCCAGGACACCAAATACTGTGTGGGAAACCCCAGCTTCCTCCCCTAGGATCTGCAGTGCAATCCAAGCAGCAGCTCAGGCTTTCGTTTGCAACCCCTGGAATGTAGGGATCTGCTCTGCCCAAAGCTGACATTGTCCCAAATCCAGGAATAATGGGGGCGAGTGAGATTTCCATTGGATGCGGCAGATCTCCCAGCCTTACCCAGCACCCGTGGGTATCAATAGAGAAACAGCAAAGAGCCAATGCGGTTAATTCACCCACACATCTAATAAATAAACACTGGTGTGGCAGAAGAGTATCTTTGGAGCCAGGATGAAGCCAGGCTTCTGTCTGCTCTCCAGGGCCCCATGCTTACCTCTTTGGCTTTGCTGAGGATTTTCTCCACGAGAATGAGATAGTTTCCAGCATCTCGGCTCACCAACTCCTGGAGGCTCCAGCAGTTCAGGCACAGCCCAGCTAGGAGGGAAACAGAGAGCAGTTGTGATTCATTCCCAGTTGGAGAGGTCCACAGGAGGGAGGCGCAGTGTAAAAGGGTCATGGCAAAGGCACTGCTGCTGCTGGCTTCATCTAGGCCAGCATCACATGTCACCTGCATATCATCCTCCTGTGACTCATGTGACCAAATGCACATAGCTCAGATCAGTGATTGGTCCCCACTGCAAAAATTGAATCATCCAACTTCTTACGCTGCTGCAGGTCTAGAGCAGCAGACAGAGGGATGTGCATGCATGGGTCAGGATGAATGTGCTGCATTCTTCCTGGGACAAGCAAGAAAACTTGCTAGTTCAGGGTCCTAATCTGCTGTACCTGGCCCATATGCTCCAGGGATGTTGCCACAATCCCTGGACCTGCCCCACCACACTCCTAAAAAGACTCAGGACACAGCATGGCTGCAGCAGGGCCACAGGCTTCTGGAGGCATGCTGGAGGTGCAGCTCTCCATCCTTCAGCATCAGCCCCGTCCTGTGGGCGCAGTCACTGAGAAACCAAGGCGAGCTGGAGCAAGATGATCAAATCACTGGCCTATTCCTAGAATTCCCATTTCTCAAGGCTGGGATGCAACTGGTGACCAAGACATGAGGGGTCTCCCAAGGTCTTTGCTCTTCCTGTCTCAGCAGCTTCCCTGGGCCAACCTCCACCCTAACACCTCCTGCATGGCCTTGGAGGAAAGGATCAGAGCAAGGGCCAGCACAGCTCCTCTGCTCAGCTCTGGTCACTCCAGGGGCAGATGCAGCTCTGCAAAGTGAGAAGGAACAAATAACATATCTGCCGGTAACAGAGCAGTCACCTGCCTCAAACTCTGTAAGGATTTTTCCAGACTAAGTAGATTCAATATTGGCATTGCTCAGCTGGCCCATGGCTTCCCCACACTCAGTCAAGGCAAAGTAAAGAGAGGAGAAGCAGAACATCTCTCATTGCAGGGGTGTGGGACTAATGGTCAAAGAAGAAAAATGAATATAATTTCAGTCACATGGCAAGTTAGCAACACCTCCCCACCAGCCTTAAAATGCCACTGAAGTCAACAACACGACAGGTGATACTAATGTCGTGGCTGCAAACACAGTCTCCATGTGTCTCCTCCATGAATATACACTTGCACATCGAGATGTGTTATTGCTTCTGCAGCTCTATGCCTAGCTCACAGTTGAGCAAATAGGGCAGTTGTTATCCCACACAGGACAGCTGCCAGGTAATGTTGAACTTCCAGCAAATTGACTTTTTTCAGGGGAGAAAGATCCTATTGGAAAGTTCCCAAGCAGCCCAGATACACCCAGTTCGGATCTGAAGTGGAACAGCACATACAGCAGCTCCTCCCGCTGCGCAAACATGTACAGCGACACATCTGCCAGCTGACTCATCCATGGCCACCAAATTGGGCAGGGAATGGTCGATAGCAGGCTGTGATTCCATGGCCAAGCACAAGTATGCAAGTAAGACTTAGTACGGTTGCAATCTTTAGTTTTCCTGCAATACTACCTGTATTTTGCTGGGTTTGGGTAAAAACAAAATGCTCTTACCAGGGCCCTGTATTGCTACACGCAGTTGGCAAGGGTACAGCCCCAGCAATTTGCCAGTTTAAATATGCTCTCGCTTTCTTCTGAAATGCTTTGCTCTGCTAACGCAACATAATTGCACAGAAACATGAACCCAGCAGATTGTTCAAGTAAATCAACACTGTCCTCAAGCACAGCATCCTCCAGGGAAAGCCCTGGGAGGCTTTTGTGAAAGCCCCTATCCCAGCAGGAGCGGTCAGGACTAGCAGGAGCATCGCTGAAGAGAGCATTGCCAGGGCACTGTGGACACATCCGTGTGGGCTTGGCACACATTCCACATGGGAGCTGGAGCGACAGGGGGAGCCCAGGTGAGAGCAGTGGGGCTGGATGACATCTCAGTGCATCACCAAATGAGGAGCATGCTGCTTCCTGCACCAGCGCAACCGCAGGCACAAATAGCCCAGCAAGACACAGGCTCTTTCCTTCCTCTCTGCTCTAGCAAGAGGAGAGGAAATTGCAGTGGAGGCTTGCTGAGCCGCACCAGTCCCGGCAGCACAGAGTGGGACGTGCATGTCTGAGCTCCTACATTTGGCAAAGCACTGCTACTCATGCCCCTGAACATCTGAGTCCTGGCTGAAAGCACTCCCCAGTGCAACACAGTACAGCTTAGAAATCCATGGACAAAATTTAAAAAGACCAAGGAGTAAAAGGAAGGGTCTGGTGCCACCAGGCATCAGCCAAGACATCAGCGGGACAGGGACCACAAGGGGAGCTGCCTTCACTCACCACGAAGCCTTCCTGCACACACAGCCTGGGCAGCATCTGTGTCCTGGTGCTGTGAGCAGAACGACTCCCTGGGGACATATTCCCTGGGGCTAGGGTAATAAAGATATTTGGGCCCTGAGTGTGACGCTTTTCCCATGCAGGATGGAGCCATTTCATGCTCTTTGCTTCTGCAGGTGCCTGGAGGGCTGCACCAAACAGCAAGAATGCAGTGGGTGCTGCAGCATCCAGAGGGGATATTTATGAACTGCAACATGGCATCAGTTTTATTCTCAAGGGCCAAAATGGGCCAGGGAGAGAGGGTGGACCAGTGAGAAAACAAATCTAGCAATACATTTTCAAAGTCAATTTCATTTTTTTTCCAGAGAGTGGAATTGCGCACTGGAAATACGCTACTGGTTCCATGTGGAGAAAACCAGCATCATCTCTGCAGTGGGCAGGGACTAGTGGGATGCTCACACTACTGCCGTTCTCTCTCCTGGACTTTGCATTTGCCAGTAATTCTTGCAAAATCAGTTCTTGCCATATTTCCTGAACATCTGGGGATGCTCCTAGAGGTCTCCTTGTAGTCCTTGCAGCAGGGCTGTTGAGGGATGCTCTTGTCCGTCACAGCAGGAACCCTGCTTCCTGTTGCAGTCTCGCTAGTGAGTGGTGCACACTGGAAAACCCTGCCTGGGTGGGGAATGCCTCTGCACACCTCACTGATCAGAGCTGCCAACAAGGCAGGACTATAGCAGAGCAGCCAAGCACCTCCCAGCCCAGGGAAGTGGAAAGCAAAACAGCACAAGCCAAACAAACCAAACCAAGTTGGCTCTATGTTTCCAAGGCAAACGGTCCAGCAAGGAGCATCCTACCACACAATCATAGCTGCCAGAGTCTCGATACACTCATCAAAGGGGAGTTCCAATCCCACACTACCGAGAGCAGCCCTTGTGAATGCACCTCACGCAGGGGACAGGAACAACAGTCCCAGTTTGTCCCATAACAACAGAACTGGGGCAGAAGCACAATGAGGCCTTCGTTATCCCAGGTGCCAAACAAGACCACACGCTACCTTCATCACGAAGCTCAGTGCAGGACACTGTGCTTATTTGTGCAACCTAGGGCTCACCACTACACACCTCTGCTACCTAATCTCAAGAAAAACTTCCCTTTGGGAGCTCAAAACCTTGCAAGGGGAACATGGTGCAGTACCAAGTCTGGGCCCAGTCAGTGCACACAGCAGAGGAGCTCGGGCATGCTCCTTGCTCTCAGTTTGATTGCTATCGGCACAAGCAAGATTACTGCAGGGCACTTGGTGGGAGTGGCAGTAAGTAAAGGGCCCGTGGGCGGCTTCGGAAGGATGAGGCTTGAAGATTCTTTTCTCAGAACTGCACCAAGATGTCCTCTCCTCAATGAGTGACTCCTTCCTGAATTTGGCAGCTGTGGTTGATGTTTCCCCTTTGCTGCTCCGCACAAGGGGCAAGCAGCAGCTCGGAAAAGAAATAACCAAGGTAGTATTTCCCCACCATGAGTGGTGCCCCATGTTGCCAGAGGCAACACAGACCAAGCAGGTGACAAAAAACAAAGGGATGTTATCATTTCCCTAGGCTGTTTCAAGAGGCTCCTCAGAAGGACTGCAAAGGTCTCACCAGCTAAAGGACTTGCTTTGCTGGATCTAGTACTGAGCTCAAGACAGTCTATCCTTGAGGAGTCATTTAGCTGCGAGGTAGAGCAACCCCAGGGAGACTTCTCTGGATCCTGGACAGCAGCTCCTTTGTCCCATGCAGCAGCTTGGCTCACCTGCAGTGGGCTCCCCAGCACCCCTTAGAGCCACATCCACCCTGGGCACCTCTGAGCACTGCCTCCACCTACTCTGAGGTCCATTTGTGAGGACAAGCATTTCTGATGTTCTTTCTTTATCCCAAGAAATGTTGTCAGTGGCCTTGGGATTGGGAGCAGCTCCATGACCCCTCATGGTCTCCCACACAATGAGACCATCACACAATAGCACCAGTATCCTGCTGAGCGTGCTTGGACCTTGACCACAGAAGGGTTGGTTGAGATCATCTAGGTCAACCCCTCTTCCCAGAGGGAGTCACCAAGAGTAGGTTGTACAGGATCATATCCAGACCACTCTTGTATATCTTCAAGGAGAGAGATCAGTGAGGAAACCCATTGCAAGTCTGGTGCAAGGGGCCTCAAAGTCAAAATTTGCTCGACATACTGCTGCTCACATGCCCCATCACCAGCTTTGGGCTGGTGTTACTTAGACCACCATGGGCAGACTCAGAGTGCCAAGCTGTGATTGTGCCATTTCTCCTCCTTGCTAGCTTCACAAACCTCAGCTATTCAGCCACCTATTTCTGCGAGGAGATGATGATATATGGGAAGTGATCACTCAGCCACTCTGGAGCAACCTGCTGTAAAACTATTGTGTAAAAATAAAGCATTAAATTATTCAGAAAATAACAAAATTCTAGTGATGTTCCAATCCAAAAAACTGCAGTCCGCAGTGCATTATTTTACTGTTTAGAAATGATGAAAAGGAGGGAAAAGCAATTAAATTGAAAAATAAAAGTGATATAAGAAGTTAAAAAGCAAAAAGAAGGAGGCTACGGCACAGCTAAAAACAGGATGGAAGGATTCATTAAGGATATGAGGAACAGAAACTTGCTTCAAATAACAGCATAGACCTGATAAAAGACAAGGACAAAACCATTCATAACACAAGAAAGGCAGAAAATTAAAAATATTTCTGTTCTACTTTTGAAAATAAACAGGACGTCTTCTTAGGGGCCATACATAGATATCTCCATTATTCTTTTTCTTCCCAAATCACAATATTTTTGCAATAACAACATATTTCCTACTCCGATTGCAACCGAGTAGGATGTGAGACGGCAGGTTCTCAAAGCAAACCTAAGAGTCAGCAGGATGAGACAACCCACATCCAAGACTAGTAAGATTTGGCTGAGAAAGTCCACCGCAGAGACTGTAAAGAAAAGGTACCCTAAGGCAAGGGACAATGCAGGTATTAACATTGCATTTACCGACAACTACAGAACTCGTCATTTATTGGCTGAAGATTTTTGGAAAGAGCATAAGTGTGGCTGATGAAATGGAACTTCCTGATGTGAAAAATGTCCAAAATTCTCCCCATAATGCCAAGTCACTTTGCAAATCTGCAAAGCTTATGCGAAGTAGACCAAAAGCAGGCTGATAGGTAGTGGAACATAATTTGGAGCAGGGAAGTCACCAGGCTGTTTCTAAGAGAGTCCGCCATCACCTAATTGCAGCCCCACAAGGTCTTACCTTTGCTAATGAGCTAGACAAATTATGAAGAAGTCATTTTCTAAAGGCTGCTCTCATACAAACACCACCAAAGGTCTGGGATTATGTGAGGGTGAAGTTTGTGAGTGACACAGAGATTGATTAATTATAATTACGGGAAGAGGCCAGTTGCAGTGAGGACAATGAAATGCTTGGCAAGGTGGATGCCTTTGAGCATGCACTTTAACAGTGCCAAAAGCAAGGTTGCTCTTCCAAGGAACGGTAACTGTAGGTCACATTTCAGGAACTGCTTCCCATAACATGAAGAAACCAAAAGGACCCAGGAGTTCTGGGTGATGGTAGCAGGTTCCAAGTTCCTGGAGCTACAGGATGGAGACTTGGCACCACTCCTGTGGACATGAGAAAATGAGCCCAAGCAGAGATTACTCCAGTACACGGCAGCAGGTAGGATACTGCTTGCAGCTCTTTTGTGATACGCTTTTATCCACAAGATTAGCCAGGGCTTTAATTGCAGTGTAAAAGTGTGTAAAAGTGCTAGTAGGAGAAAGAGTTGGGGAAATGTCATTTGGAAGGGACTTCTGCTGCACACTGTTGTCTTGCCTTCAGCACCCCGTGCTGAATCCCCTTGCAGGCCTCTGCATAAGGCTCAGGTCCTTAGGACTGACATGGTTTCTGAGCTAGATTTAAATAAGACTGACATAATACTCATTTCTAACAATACAGCAGAGATATTCACATAGGTTTTGGAACATACTTGTATCAAAGCAAAGCAAGGTGAACAGCTAAACCAAAACAGCTTTTCCTCATGGTGAAAAGAGATGTTCCTGATGTAGGAACGACTGGCAGAACGCATAGCATCTCTGTCAGGTCTTTCCCTATACAAAACCTAACACAAATTGTTCAACATCTTGGTAAATCTTCCCACTGCAATGAGAAGCACAGGTAGATGGACTGGACAGGATCCAACTTCTAACTCTGAACTTTGGAAAGGAAAGGAAGAAAAGGCTTCCTCTCCCCCAATAATCCCAGCAGGTCACTCCTAACCAAGTGCTCAGGTACGTTGGTAACACAAGTCAAATGCAAGCAGAGAGGACAGAAGAGCCTGGTCTCGTCCTCTGTCACATAAGTGAGGTTGAACCGGGGCCATCAGGTTACCTACCAGCCCATCTGCTGGAGAGAGCATCTCTGCTAAGCCCGTGTAGACATCTTTCCAGTGCATGATAGATCCTGTCCTCTGTGCACGTAGTGTGCTGCATTTTAATTCATCTCCTAAAGAGAAAGAAAGAAGAGAGTTAGCTCACTGGGCTTTTAGTCAAGAACAAGGAAAAAAGCTCCAAAATATTGCCTTAGTGTAGACAAGATAGCCCAGCTGATGCTCCCTTTCCAGTCCCTAAGCCAACATCAAGCTCTCCTCTGACAGCCATCATCTTCCACTCTGCTCCCAACCATGGCAAAGGTGTATGTTTGTGACTTGAGTGCCACTGAGGCCAAAAGGCTTGCAGTCTCACCACGACATGTCATATACGCATCCATGGCTTCACTGTTCCTGCTGGTGGGATGGAGGAAAGTCCCGCACACACATTTGTGCCAAGGAGTGAATCTTGGTTCAATTTCCATTGATAAAAGCACCACAAGAGACCAGCACTGCAACACTTTGCAATAGGCTTGAGCGGAAAAAGAGACAGAAGACCCCAAGTTCCTACTCTCTGCATTGTATAGAAACCATTTTTAGTGGCTCAGGTCTCCACTGGTGGCGGCTGCAAACCCCAAATGCTAGCCATACAATGGCCAGAATTACTGTGTGATGTTTCCATCACTATTCACCTTGCTGCTGTGCAGCCAACATGAAGAAAAGGTCCAAATGCTCCTCTGGCAATGCAGGAAAATACTGGAGGGGTCAGGCTGAGCCCATACGCCAGAGGATGTTGTGAAATAGCGTATTGCATGCCTGGCTGCACACTTTTCACAATCCAGTTCTCTGTGCTTCTCATCTCTCCTCCAGCTTTCAGGGTACAAATCTAGGCCTTGGGCTGGCAGGAAGATTTTCTCCCACTCTATTCAAAAGTACCAGTCCAGGACCCAGAAAATAAAACCAGGACAGCAACAGTTCTGCAAGATATCAGAGATCTCATCCTTCCCTGCAACCTCATCCCCAGTCACATTGACTTTGGACATGCACCTCTCTTCTCCAAACACACAGGGAATCTCTCTTTCAGACTCTGCTTCTTGGTTAAAATCAACATGAATAATCAAAAAAATATCCCAGGGGAAAGAAAAAAGAAAGAAAGAAAGAAAGAAAACCTGCCAACACCAGAAAACACATCAGCTGAGAGGACTTCTGTTTTCATTCAGGTCAGCACATTCTTTTCCTTCCCTATTCCATGTGCTCATGCTCAGACTATTCACAGATCTCCCTCCAAATTCTTCATTATCAGCTTTATCTAGTAAGGCTGGATTCTTAGTGCACTCAGTGTCTCAAGAGAGCCTCCAGCAGATCCTGCTCTCCCCAGCCTCCTTGCTGCCTTGGTGTCACGAGTTCTCCAGCACGGCCTCTGTCCTGGCAACTCCCTGGGACAGCTCTACAAAAGTATTTCTGGATCTTGTGGTCCCCAGTAGCTGAGGAAGCTCAGTGAACTCCATCCAGCCTCACTGCTCGGCCCTTCTAATGCTCGAGAAAAGCCACAAACAGCTTCCAACAAATCAAAAACACATCCACAGCAAGGAAACACTGACCTGCCAAGTGCAAGCTCTCTCCTTCACCCTGAAAAAGCTTGTGGACTCCTGATCTTAGTTTCCTACTGTCCCAGCATGCAATTCCAGCCTTTGCTGAAAGTTTTACACATCTCCTGAGCCCAGACATGGAGAACCCAAGAGGGCTCTGCCGAGGTGTGCAGCACTGAACAAGCAGAGATCTGCACAACAGCATCTTAGTCATGACTTGTGGCAAGAGGAAAGCGGTGACTAAGAGGACAGTGTGACTCATAAGCACCCTTTACAACACCCAACTTGCAAAAAAAAATACACATCCTTGCACGTCAGCATGTTTTAGAGCACAGTGCAGTCACCAGAGGGGACCACACTGCCGCCTTGTGCTCTGCAAGCTCCCAATGGATCCTGCAAAAGTCCAGTGCCCTCCTCCCGATACCTCACAAAACCCAGCACAGAACGGGCATTAAATGTAAGAGCTAAGTATTATAGACTAAATATCACAACTTTCAAACCACAAAACACAGATTCTTCATCTATTTTCTTTACATGGATCGCACATAGATCAAACCCTTTTCCCCCCAAGACAGTGATTGTGGAGGACTCTTTGGTGGAAGGAGACTCAGTTTATCCACCAGAGACCAGCAGAAAATTTTCAGGCTCATCCACTGTTTTTTCCCCAAACTTTCCCTTCCTTCCCAACCACACAGCATGAAATAACAAGTCATGGGACACTTGGGAGGATGTAATCGGACTTTCCAAATAGCTCCATTAAATATCTCAGGAGAACTACAGAAGGCTTTTAAAGTGCTGCAAAGCAGTGATCCATGAAGAGGTTGAAGAGCTGAGCATCTCTGGAAAATAAATAAATAATTAAATGTGTCTGTGCAAGGTATTTGGTGCAGGTGGAAGGGACCATGCAGACATTGTGCAGTAATCTGCCCACAGTGGCAGTTTCACAGAGCAAAATTACCAGAGCAAATCCCCTCTTGAGATGCCCTCATCACCAAGGGAATGTTTTGTGTATTTCCAAGCAGAACAACACGTTACAAAAGATGAGGGTTTCCTCTGACTGTTCTCTAGATGTCAAATACATTTTTGGGAGTTGGTACAAGAAAATCCCAGGGAATAAAGAAGCATTTTGAGGGATGAATTAAGAGAACAACATAGAGAAAAGAAAGAAAATCTTCCAATGCCAGGTTGTCACAAATTAGTAGCAGTTTCACACAATCACAGAATATTCAAGGTTGGAAGGGACCTCTACAGATCATCTAGTCCAACCTTCCCGCTCAAGCAGGCACACCTAGAGCATGTGGCACAGGGTGGCATCCAGGTGGGTTTTGAAGACCTCCAGAGAAGGAGACTCCACAACCTCCCTGGGCAGCCTGTTCCACTGCTCTGTCACCCTAACAGTAAAGAAGCTCCTCCTCACCTGGAGACGGAACTTCCTGTGCTCCAGCTTACGGCCATTACCCCTCGTCCTGTCGCTGGCCACCAATGAGAAGAGCTTGTCCCCTTCCTCCCTGCATTCTCCCTTCCTGAACTTATACACATTAATCATATCCCCTCTGAGCCGTCTCTTCTCAGAGAAAACAGGCCCAGCTCACTCAGCCTCTCTTCATACGAGAGATGTTCCATTCCCTTAATCATCCTGGTTGCCCTTCTCTGGACCCTCTCCAGAAGCTCCACGTCCCCCTTATACTGGGGAGCCCAGAACTGCACACAGTACTCCAGGTGCGGCCTCACCAGAGCTGAGTAGAGGGGCAGAATCACCTCCCTTGACCTGCTGGCAACACTCCTCCTGATGCAGGCCAGGATCCCAATGGCCTTCTTGACCACAAGGGCACTGATGATTCATGGTTAACTTGGTGTCAACCAGGACTCCCAGGTCCCTCTCCGTGGAGGTGCTTTCCAGCAGGTCAACCCCTAATCTGTACTGATGCCTGGGGTTATTCCTCCCCAGGTGCAGGACCCTGCACTTATCCTTATTGAACCTCATGAGGTTCCTCTCTGCCCAACTCTCCAGCCTGTCCAGGTCCCTCTGGATGGCAGCACAGCCCTCCGGAGTGTCGGCCACTCCACCCAGCTTGGTGTCATCTGCAAACTTGCTCAGGGTGCATTCCGTGCCTTCGTCCAGGTCATTGATGAACAAATTGAACAGCACTGGGTCCAGTACTGACCCCTAGGGGACACCACTGACCACAGGCCTCCAACTGGACTCGGCCCCATTTATCACCATCCTCTGAGCTCTGCCATCCAGCCAGTTCTCAATCCACCGCACCATGCACTCATCTAGTTCACTCTCTCAGAGCTTCCTTATGAGGATATTATGGGAGACGGTGTCAAAAGCCTTGCTTAAGTCAAGGTAGACAACATCCACGGCTCTCCCCTCATCCAGCCAGCCTGTCATCCCATCACAGAAGGCCATGAGGTTCGTCAGACATGACTTCCCTTTGGTGAATCCATGCTGACTGCTCCTCAACATCTTCTTCTCCTTCATATGCCTGGAGATTCTCTCTAGGATGAACTGCTCCATCACCTTTCCAGGGATGGAGGTGAGGCTGACCAGCCTGTAATTGCCCGGCTCCTCCCTCTTGCCCTTTTTGAAGACTGGAGTGACATTGGCTCTCTTCCAGTCCTCGAGCACTTCCCCTGCTCTCCAGGACCTCTCAAAGATGATGGAGAGAGGCTGAGCAATAACCTCGGCCAATTCCCTCAGCACTCTTGGGTGCATCCCATCTGCGCCCATAGATTTTTGAGTGGCCAGTTTGCCTAAGTGATCCCTAACCCAATCCTTCTCAACCCGCGGAAGGTCTTACTCTAGTCCATTTATATCTCTTCCACTTGAGCCCTGCAGTTCATGGGGGGTCGCCTTAGCGGTAAACATAGAGGCAAAGAAGGCATTTAGTAACTCTGCCTTCTCGGCATCCTCCGTCACCCATTCAGCAGTGCACTAACATTTTCCCTCGTCTTCCTCTTGCTGTTGACATACTTATAGAAACCCTTCCTGTTGTCCCTGACATGCCTCACCAATTTGGGTATTGCATGCACATCCATCCATTCGACTACCATATGAAACTATTTGAAATATTGCTCCTAGGAGGCACAGCAGTTTTCAGGAACATAGTGTGTCAAAGATTGAATGACGCCCTTGAACAAGAACCAGATTTGTGAAAGCAGACGGCAAAGTCTCTCCTAGAAAGGCTCCCCACTGCCTTGCGTAATGCTGGTCCATTGAGGTAGGTGGTCACCCAAGACGTCTACTACCGCCCATTGCAGTAAATCCTTCCACTCTGTTTCATGCAGGATGGCCACCCACCACCAGAATCGCATCCGCAAAACACTCTGGCAGAGGCTACAAGAGGAACTGGCGGAAAATGAGTGAGGAACTGGGAAGCTGTGAACCACAGCTAGGAGGAGGACCTGCTTGTAAACAGCTATAGGATGAGGTGGGCAGAAAACAAGGCTCGTTTTGGTGAGCATTACACCATGTCAGTACTGTTACAGCATTCTTAGTTGTAGGAGGGACAGCATTAAGCTCCACGTTTTTCTTTTA